ACCGCCTCTCCTGCGTCGACTGATCTTGTCCATTCATCTCGGGCAAGTAGCAGGTTTGCGGTGCAAGAGCGTTTCCTTCGAAACCCGTGTTGGGCCGGCGACAGTATGATATGCTTCTCGAAATGATCCATCAGAGAGCCAGCAACAATCGATTCCACTACTTTTGACAGAACAGGAAGAAGTGTAACTGGACGGTAGTTCGCAGGATCACTTCTGCAGCCACCTTTGTAAATAGGCGAAATGATGCCATGTTTCCAAGATTGAGGGATCCTCGTCTTGTCAGACATTCTTTGGTATAAATGGGCAATTATTTCAGATATGTAATTTGCCAAGGACGTCGGGGTCTGTGGTCGGATGTTGTCTTCCCCTAGAAATGAATTGCGGCGCAGTGCCACTGTCTACATCGCAGTGTTTGAGTCTGCTGGGGCAACTAGACAATCAATGCCGAGGTTAGACACAGAGTCGAGTACTAGATCAAAATGGCTGGGATATATGTTACACAGGTCAGATTAGCTTCCTCGGAGTGAAGTATTTTCCAAGGTAAGTAGTGGGCGGAGGAAAGTAGAGGGTGGTTAAACTAAGACCGGAAATGAGGGCATGATAACCTTGGCCAGGGAAATTTTACGTATAGTCCAGATTGGGAACCTCGAAATCGGGTGTATACACGGTCTGAGACAAATTGATACAGGTGAGTGTCGCCGACGATGGAGTTTGCGCACTCACTCACTCAATTTCTTCGTAAATTCAGTCCAATTGTTTTCTCTATTCTGTAGCTACATCCAACTCTCTACCCGTTCTCTATGCTCGATCCAAATGGGGCAGTCAAAAACCGAAACGGCCACGTGAAAAATCAAAGTTAATAGTTATATGTACTGAACTGAATTAGATAGTTTCGTGCATCAGTTCAAAACTGGTAGCCCGGATGAGAAATACGACGTTCAAAATTCTAATCACAAGCACACCGAGCCGAACAGCGCAACGTGGCATTGTGCTCTTTCAGTTTTGTCACGTGATTTGTATGAAGAGAGTTGTTCTCTGGTCTGTGGTAAACGGGCACCTGATCAGTGGACAAAGCGGAGCATCTGAAATTATTTGCTCTCCTCAATGTGGGAAAGAGAGAGACAGACGGACAGACAGAGCTTCTTCGGTAAAACATTTTTAGTAGAAATTCAGTTTTACAAACAAAAAATAGACTCCCAAAAAATTCAAGAAAAAAAACTGCCAGGGGCATTCTCGCTCAGATATTGAGAAACGCGTTGATCGGATAAAAACAACATAGAGTAATGCAGCTGTGAATCCAAATGTGTGGGCAGGACGAACAGATCAGTCAACAACTAATAAAATGTACTGCATTTGATCAAAAAATCCCAGAATGCGGTCTACATGTTCAACATGTTATGAGACGCACAAACTAGAATGTGCTTCGTCAATCAGCCCGGATGACCCATGTCGGATGAGAAACGGGTGCACATCAGCCAAATACATTAAGCATCTATAACGGAGCGAAGGGGCTTAAAAAAGAGGGGAATTGAATCGTGCATAGCAGCATCGATCGCTCGGGAGATGCTCCACGCGTGTATTACACATACACACACGCACACGCAACTAACGGTAGGCCAAATCAGAAAATCCCAAAACAGTGCCACGTGGCAGCACACACACACACATGGGCACGTGACCGAATTCAGCGAACCAGAAACACCCACGTATATTGCTAATACAGGGAGTTACACTAGGGCAGTTAACGAATAATTCGATCACCTGTTTGACTGATCAGCATGCAGCTTCCTCAGGGGCAACAGTGCAGTATTCACTAGCCTCTATTTCTTTCTCGTGCACTACAAGCTGACTAGGTTGCTAAATAATATGGGAATAAAACAGCTGCAGCTTATGACGAACCTTATTGGATTTCGCTGCAAAGCTCCTCGAGTGAGACGAAGACGCTGCAGTAGACCCTAATTTAAATTCATCAACAACGCTTACCAAAACCAGTTGTCGCGATCCTACTCGAGGCTTTTAACGAGGTGTCCTAGAAAACGATAGCTGAGCCGGATAAGCAGCATCGGATTATTGTGAGAACTTACGAGACCACGGTAATTGGTGATCAGAAAACCACACAAGTATTGCACAGTATGTAGTGAACGGTGGTGTCTCTGTTTCTACTCATCTCTGACCTCATCTGTTACGGTTCACTTTACCGCTATCTATGTAAGTTAACCCATTGTGTGTACACATTAATGAAGTGTGGATTCGGGCAGAACAGTATGAATTCCATGAAAATACAGAGTACATGCTATCAATGATCCTCGGTAGATTCGATCATGTAACAATCAACCTCTGGGAATGTTGTCGTTTACTGATTAAGTATTTATCTACGGTACACGCCGGAAGGCTTGGTGAGCAAAATATTTCAAACGATCGGGTTTTGAGGCCTACTTTATCGATTCTTGGCACTGGCCTATTTTTCGTTGTATATCAGCGATGACCATGGATTAAAGATTATACAATAAGATTGTACGATAAATATGCACATAGGTAGGCAGATATATTGTAGAGTATAGGTATCCGTAAAACCTTATACAGTGAACGATAACTTAAAAAGGAAATTAATCTGGAGAGTGTGTGTGTGTGGGGGGGGGGTTGAAACA